GGGGCTGTATTTTGACACAAGTTCCCAGTTTCCACTGTTACAAGTTAATATAGTGCAGACTAAGATAAGTAATAAGTATTTAGTTTAAGCATTCAGTTTAAGTATTTAGACAGCATTTTAAACTATTTTATACTGCATTATCAAAATGTAACATTTTAGCATTTTGTTATCCTCTTTGTTCTATTGATTTTCAAAAGTTATTGGGAATTTCTATAAAACACAATTTTTCTCTGCTTTAACTCTTATTTAAACCATACTTGGCTGCAGCTAGCATGAAATTAAGTATTTTTCACTTCTAAGCAGCGAACTGTTTTGCCGATAAATAGTTTTTACGCTGTTTATACTTATAGTTATTTAAGTAATATATTTTTATGCTTATTCTTATTTGTCTATAAAAAGCGCTTCCTTAGCCACTCCTCTGTAATTTTCTTTCTTAACCCGTCTTTAAACTCAAATCTGAACAATATTATTTAGCTGTCTGAATTAAATATCTTTAACTTCTAACCATGACCAAAACTATTTTAACATAATTTCCCAGTTGCGAATGGTGGGAAATTGTAGTGTAATAGTGCTGACCAACTATTTAGGCAACATTTTAATCTATTTTATACTATATTATCAAGATGTAACATTTAGTTATTCTCTTTGTTATATTTATTTTCAAGAGTTCTTGAATATATTTTGAGACCTGCCAGAGGCAGCAAATAAGTGCGGCGAAACGTTTTGACATCTTTGACCTCTGGTTAGATGACATTATCAGATAATATATATTTTGAAATTTCCTGCTTAGCAGCTTTTAAACCGGATATCGACCGAAACCATATTGACCGGAACCGAATTCAGCCGAATATTCAGTTATGTTTTGAAAACGCAAAATATTGACTTTTAACTTAATCAAATAATGAATCGTTTTACCTCGATGCCAAATATTTTATATATTCCGACGAGACCAAAAAGTCATTTGTTGATGAATCATAGAAATGGAATAGAATATTAACGTCAAATCATAGCGATGTCTTCTAAATGTATGCTAATTTTGATGAAATATGAGTGCTGAGTAGCAACTTGCAAAATGTATACTTGAGCAATGATTCTATTTTTTAAATCTAGATGGTATAAATGTTGGGTAAAAGGACATCAAATTTCTTTGGTGAGTAGATAAACATTCCAATAGTTCCAACACGACGATTGCACTCCTCTCAGCTTTTGGTGAAGCACATCATCATTTTGCCTCTGATATAACGGAATTTCTATAATACACTATTTTTCTCTGCTTAAAGTCTAATTTAAACCATACTTGGCTGCAGCCATAGCATGGAATTAAGTATTTTTAGATTTAACTTCTAAGCAGCGAACTGTTTTGCCGATAAATAGTAATAAGTAAGTAAGTAATATATTCTCATACTATATATTCCTCTATAAAAAGCGTCTCCGTATCCACTGCGCTGTAATTTGTCTATGACACATGTTTAACCCGTCTTTAAATTCAAATCTGAACAATATAATTTAGCTGTCGGAATTAAATATTTTAAACTCCTAATCAAAGCTATTTTGACGATAAACAGTTTTACCTAAGTAATCCAAGTTAGATCATATCCAGCACTAAATCGGACTTTAAAACAAATATTTTAAACAAATCAGCTGCTGGATCTGCACTGAACAAATCAGCTGCTGGATCTGCACTGAACAAATCAGCTGCTGGATCTACACTGAAAAAATCAGCTGCTGGATCTGCACTGAACAAATCAGCTCTTGGATCTGCACTGAACAAATCAGCTGCTGGATCTGCACTGAACGACACGTACCTTGTACGAATTAGCACCGTTCCTCACTTCCTCACAATATAAGCGCTCTATATTCTACTAGAGTGTTATGATTTTGTATAGACGTCCAACTTGAAAGCCACTCTTGTTACGCTAGACCAAGTTATACCAAGCTAGCACTTGCGTTAACCCTCGCATTATTTGTACCTGGAACATTTGTTTGGACAAAAAGGAATAAAACTTCGTCTTCATGGTTAGTTTTAGGGTGTCTGGCAGTGCCTATAACTAGGGTATATCAAACTCAGCCTCCAGCCAAGGTTGTAAATTAATTTATTAAACTGCGCTGACAAGCATAAATGATTTCATGGGTAACTTACTAATAGTTCAAATTAACTTACTAATAGTTCAAATTGCTAACCTCAATAAACTAAAACGTCTATCATCAAATTCCTTCACCAGGCTATCATTAGTCTGTTGTAAAAACTTGAAGTTGCTCGGTTACTCTAACAGGAAGAATCCCTTAGCGTTTGTCACAAGCAAGTAATTAACAGCAATACGCTACACTTGCAGTTTTGTTCTTAAAGCCCTTCAACGGTTATTTAGACGCAAGTGTGATTAAGTGTCGTGGATTGACGCGTTTCATCACTTAAAGACTTAATATCTCGGTTTGTAGACATGAATACATTGTCGTGCAGTGATAAACTGGTGTGCCGGCCGCGTTGAGCCAAATGAACCGGCAAATATTGTTGACCTCTTTAATTTAGCTAACATTGCTTCCACACCCGAAATTCTATTTCTTCCCCGTTCTTTAACCAGAAAAGCTGTGATAGCGTTTATCACTTATCTCGATGTCTTTATAAACTCCTCCGGGATACCACTATGGTGCTAAGGGACGGCGTTATTTTGATCCATCCCGCTGTTTTTTCCCATTTAGAAAATAATCCTTACTCAGCTTTAACAATAATAAGAATCCCTTCCCTTATTCACTCGACCGGTTTGGTTTGTTAAGTGGTATCTTGTCTTTTACTTATTTGAGTTTTAATTTCCACTATCAGAAACTACTCAGCGCGCCAGTCACTAAATGTCAGGTGTTCTGATGTCGATGACGCTTACGGCGTATCACATGACCTTCTATAGTTCTACGACGCACATTGGTCAAATTTGTCATGTGACTTGCTTTATAATCTTATCTTGTAGTAAAACAATTATGTGGGGAGTTAGAACAGTGGTCGTACAATTAAGTGGACGTGCTAGACTTGCGGCTGCAGCAGAACCACGGACTAATAGGCTCTTGATCTAATATTAATAACTCGTCAGGGAAGCATTTTAAACCTATGTCATGTGGGGTGATTCGGAATCAGCCTTCAAAAATACATCGATTTCCGTTGCAGTTTCAACAGTCTTTCAGAAAAATATTTATGTTCAACGCTTTAGCACGCTCATGTTTTCAAAACATTAACAATCCCTCGTACTATGCACACTGGATCGTATTATTTTCCCACCTATCCGCGCAACGCGGGATAAGTTTGAATATAATTATCCCTTCGCGTGACTGTGTTATCAGTATCTGAATCTCTGAGACTGACATCTCCCTCAGTTGAATTGTTATATGAATAATTTGTTCAATTCCATAAAGTTTTCTGGTGTTAATGTCGCGGCTTCAGACTGATCCTGATCTCAGTAATCAGTTTGTCTCTTTTCTCTAACTACCGTGATCTTCCTCCCCAGTACCATCGAAACAGACGCACTGTCACTACCATGGTATAGACACTGTCACTACCATGGTGTAGACACTGTCACTACCATGGTATAGACACTGTCACTACCATGGTATAGTCAGTGCCTATACTACCCGGCATATTCCGGTCACATACTGCAGCTCATCTCCCTGTATATTATCAGTTAGTATTCATATTATCAGTTGTATCTGTTAATCACTTTACCGTTACAATGGTTACAGACATGGTTAGTGCAATTATGTGGCCCGAAATCGGTATATTTTAATGGTTTGACACTTACCATTTGACGTTATCACGTACCATGTTAAACCATGCTGATAATATTTTATCCAATTATCAGGATTTTTTCGAATATACTATTATAGATATACTCCTTTTCTGAAACGTATTCTTAATAAATGTAACAAATCAGTAGTGTTACGTAACACTAACAGATTTGTATAGTGTATAGTGTTATGATTGGTTTATGACACATGTTCACTGTCTCGAGTATCGATTAATAGAACCGTACAGTGGTGTTATAGTGGTGTAGTGCGGATAATTTGCGGTTTTAAAGTTGCACGTCTGTAATTTGCATACTATCTTGTATTTGCTGTGTTTCGCGAGTTGTCCTCTTACAGATGTTCCCGCGTTTGTGCTGATTCTGAGCAGAAAACATATTTTATTTAAGTTATACGTCACTTCCCCTTCCTTCTTTACCTTTCTACCGTCATTTAACCACTGGACTGGGCCCAGTTGGCACTGTAATTGCAACTACCAGTACCAGTGCCAGGACCGCTATTAATACAACTATTATTTAGATATAACCGTGTTCTATTAATTTGTGGCTTTCATGTTGCATGTTTTGCATATTTTTCTGGCGAACACTGGTTGTACTGGTGAAGAATATTGTAGTAAATATTCATACAGACCGGTGGTAATTGGTATGTTGGACCGTATTATATCTAACTATTTTGTATATGTTTTCTAACGTCTGTTTACACAGGATGTTACTGGTTCGATTAATATGCCATATACACATCATACGTGAACTCGTTAACTTATTTGTGTATCAGTTCACAACGCTTAAAACAATTAATTACTATTCCGAAACAGTTTGAACTGTTGTCTTTGTACAATTATAGTCTTTATATATTGACGACTCTATTAAGTATTATGCGACATTAATAGTCGCCGCCCTGTCCTGTATTATAAACGCTTTACTCATAACAATAGTACCACACTTTCGACCTTTGTAAGCTCATTATCGGCTGTTTTACGTATAGTCCATTTAGCTGTCGTCTGAACACAAATGCCTGACTCCATTGTGGGAGGTACTTGAGTGGTACACATGTCAAGGAATGTCATTGGCTCCGCGTCCGCCATCATCGCAGCAGCGTCCAATGGACAAGGAATGAAGGATGCATGGTTGGTACAGTCCACTTCCATTGTTTCACTAAATCTGTAAACTTACATTGTTTTACTAAATCAGATCACATTCGCACGACATATTGTTTTTCTTTGGTTAGTATTTTGATTGATCCACGCGATCAAAGTGGGCACTTTCTATTAATGGCGAACAGTGTACCACCTCGCGAAGAGCGGGACACCCTCCATCAATTAAATCGGATAACCACATGCAAATCCATTCCAACTAACAAAACCCCTCGATCAGAAAGTGGAGACACCCTGCACCAATTAAAGCGAATAACCACTTGCAAAACCATTCCAACTAACAAAACACCTCAACAAAGTGCAGGAGATACTTTGCATCAATTGAAGCGGATAGCCACTTGCAAATCAATTCCAACAAACAAAACTAAGAACCTACACCGTTCCAAGACGGGAGCATTAACTGTCTCCGGCCGGTCTTGTACAAAACAAGATCTCGCGCGGGAACGTTCGTTTAGCATGCCCAAGGAGGAAGAGGCTTTAACACAAGTTATCAATTTTGTCAGCAAGCGGTTCGTAAACACGCACCAGGGCGTACTGCCCCAGAAACAACAGAAGAGACGGGATCAACAGTCCGCTGATAACACCAATGATTACGTTAAGATTAACATTAGTGGTGTTACCTTCAAGACCAAGTTGGAGACTCTACAGCGATATCCCCAGACTTTACTAGGTTAGTTTTTGTGTATTCGTTGTGGATAAAGTTAGATGTGGTTGCATCGCCCACGGTTATTAAAATAAACAATAGCTGATGATATTTTACTAAAGCTCAAAAAATAGTCTGAGAACTGAGATTATATATGTGTCTTGACTCTTAAATATAAACCTATTGTAACCAAGTAAATTGATTACATGGCTAAACTAAATTCTGTTCGTGAGATCGGTTCATTAGCTTCCTAAATTTAAATAAATTATCCGAGCTTTGTAATATACAGCATGCTTTGAATAATATAGCTTTGTGAATTATACCCACATCCAGAAAGACGACGAAATTTGGTGCCAAAAATATAATTTTAAGAAGACCTGACCTTTTTAGGGTCTGAGTTAATCTTTAGGGGAAAAACATTAATCTGCGAGGAAATTAAAAACTTTCTGGATGTAGGGAATTATATAATAATAAAAGATCTCCCATCAATTAAAGACAGATTAGTAAAATTTATTTTTTATCCATCCATTTATTTGTATCCATAAGAAAAATAAGATTATTTAATCAATGCAGTTACCGAATAAAACTATTAGTCGATAATTACCATAGAAACCTCAAAATAGCTTCAATTCACGCAGCACTTTTATAAAAACGAGCATGTCACGTACAATTTTTTCACCGAACTATTGATATGTTATTATCTTGATGAGCGACTATCACACAATACAGTTACTAAGGCAGTTACCTATAGTAACCATATAGTATAAACAAATCGTAACCAATAGTAACCAAAAGTAAGCAAACTAACCTCACAGGAAACCACGCAGACCGGGCCAAATACTTCGATGAGCGGAATGGGGAACTGTTCTTTGACCGCCACTCACCCACCTTCCCATCTATCCTATACTTTTATCAGAGCAACGGTCGGTTGCACAAACCCCTCACCGTCAATATGACTCTTTTCAAGGAGGTAATCTGCTTTTTGTTCGTCGTTTTAGTTTTAGGTAAGATCATTAGAAACTGTATCTTTTCTATTCTCTCAGAATAATCGAATTATTGTCGACCATAAAAGTAAGTTCGGTTGTTGTGCTAAATCTAATGAAAAGGCCTAACATATCTTTCGTCGATCGATAGACGATTAATCTATACATATTGATGATTCAAACGTTTCAAACACATACATATCCGCAGGAGCTGACATTCTTCAAAATCAAGTACGAGGGACTGCTCGAAGAAGTAGTGCCAATCCACCACAGAGCCAACCGGTGGAGCCTTGCTGCAGCCGCTGCAGCTGCGGGCCCCGGTCCAGAGGGAGTGACCCCCAACTCCGTCGACCCCATCAACAGTAACCCTGCGTAAGTGCTGACATGCATTGTATTTATGTATTATGTTCAATAATATTGTCGATTTTAAACAAGATCATGAGCTGTATGTGATCCACATATGCTTGTCTGATACAATCGATCAAAATGTATAAAACCTGATTCATATGCTACCGTATTCTCGTGAATCTTTGCGAGTGTTTGTAACTACCGCTGCTGAACTTTAGTAGGTTCTGCTCGGTTCTAGGCTCGTGGTTCGGTTGCGCGGCTCCGATATAATCTGCAACGCTGTACACCTGAACCCAGCCTAGAACCCAACCAAACCTGCAGTGAAGTTCAACAGCTACCATAAAACTAAACTATGTACTGGTCTGGCGGGAGGTAATACTGTATAATAGTCTCTCATCCCCCTATAGACACAGATATATGTTAGCCAAACATAGAAGAAACAGGTAACGGTGCTATGGCTTTACTAATCTTGAACGCTAATTGGTTTATCAATATCATTTAACGACTGTTTTCTTGCAAACAGCAGATATCATGAAAACCTTGTTGGCGTTTATTTGTGGCTATGAATGGGTTTAATTTATTTAATTATACAGTGTGACTGTGGGTATGTACCGGAGTTTAAGTTTAAGACATAGGAAAAGTCTGTAAGTTACTCAAAGTTCGTGAAAGCTATGTTTTTTTGGGAGCTGCTGCTTGCTAATCATATAAAAATTATTTCTTTTTAACGTTTGATGCTATTACTGAGTTCTATTAAGCTAAATATATACAATAGTAGGCCTGACTAACAATGTTAAATGGTAAATCTAAAAATGATATTTAGATTTAATAATGTAACGGAGCGATAGGATAAAACAAGTCACCGTCACAATCCAAAGTTGTGCAACTCATTTCATTGGTTTAAAAAGACGGGAATCGGGCGTTTCCAAAACAAGTCATTGAATCTGCCTGAATTCATTTTTCATTATTAGAGAATCAAGACTAAAAACCCAAATTTTAATAGCCTAAATTTTAAAAATGTTACCAAAAACTTAAACGATATCAGACAAATAATTTTATCAGCTCTATAATAACATGTTAAAACATGTATCTTTAAAATTTATAGCCATAACAGTTATACAAACTGATGAGCCTGTCAACATTATATGTTCAATCCGTTACAACTAAGTACTTAAATATTAAATATTTTAGTACTTAGTTGTAAAGAATTAAATTTTATTGCCGACTTTAAACAATTTTATATGCCGACTTTAAAACAATTTGTGAGTTGCCAGATTTAGAATTGCGATTTGAATGCGTAGGTATTGCACAACTAGGATACTTGCTACTTTTTGCTAGCAACGTTTTGGGGTTACTGCCTGCTATGCAATGTAGCTTGTTTTATGACACAACAATTTTTTTTAATAACGAAGCTTAATGCTCCAGTAAGGAATATCGGTTGATCATGAATTTAGTTCATTGATTCTGCATCTTGTTCTGTTTAAGCATGCTCTTTCCGTGAGCATTAAATGCCATGGTGAGACATATCGTTCATTGCTACAGCTATTAAGTTGCACCTCCTCCATATTATCATCGACATCATCATATTCTACCGGGCACCGGCTGTATCAGGTTTTGAATGCTCAGTTCTTCATTGGACTCTATTATTATCACCCATATTATGTCTGCTCATCGATAGAACGGCTGGACGAAAGTATGGTCGAATCTTAAAATTGGATTGGCCAGATTATGCAAAATCAACAGAAGAGATTGCTTAACTCGACTTAAACCAATCCAATTTCAAGTTTCGCCCAAACTTCCTACTAAACATTTGACCGATGAGTACACATCTTGGTCTCGTGCATGAAAGCCTGATTGTAACTATGTCGGTCAAACAAAACTGCTTCAACACTATCTGGTCATAGTTGAGTAAATTCGTGGTTAGAGAAAGAACAAGAAAATAACACCGATCAACACTTCAATGAGCTAACTTATCCACATGCTCTGTACTATGTTGCAGTAGTGCTATGAATGTGATTAGAAGTAAGCTGTGGTCTCTAACACTTCACTTTATCGGTGTGGTCACGCTCTGTAGTAATACAAAGGGAGCTCGCTCAAGACAGTGTGCTTACTTCTAATCTAGGTAAACTATAGGTAAAAATATAATATTAATCATAAGCTAAAATGTACTAATCTTTGTATTCTAAATGGGGAAAAAGAAGAAACATTGTCAGTCAGTCGAGAAAATTGTCAGTCAGGCTATATGGCAGCTTTGTAGATGTTGTGACTATGCTAGTAGTGGTCCCAGGCTTGCGACTGGAATTGCGGTGTTAAATCGATTTAATGGTACCAACGATCCACCTCCCACTTGTTATTTGGTACTTAGCATTAATAGTGTTAGCTGTAGCCATTTATAGCAAGAATCTTAAGACTAAAGGGGATGACAAGGAAAAGAGGAAGGAAAAAGAATAACGGGACAAACAATTAATTAAAGTATTCATAGGAGCATTAGATATTGTAATTACAAGCTTCAATAATCAATCACTGACTAAAACTTCTAATTAAAATGACACTTGGTACGCTCGCCCATTTTCACTGGTCAGTCTGAACTTCGGTTTAGCACGTTGTACACTTATTCACCTAAGTTTCAGAATTTGTTCAGTTTAGCAGAGTTAGTACCCGTGTTTCAATAAATCAAAAGATATCAGGGGAGTTCTTTAATAATGTTACGGTCATCTAGAATACCGAACTTCCTGAAAACGTTATCATATTTCCTCAGACAACGTTTAATGCCTTTAATCAGTCTATCACGGCTATATCCTCTATCAATTAGAATTTTGAATATTTTGTGAAGATGGGAGGTAAAGATATCCAATCTAGTGCAAACATTACCATATCTAAGAACTTGACTTGAAAAAACGTTGTAGCCAACCTCGGTTGGGATGTTACTGTGAGGAAATGTAAGGGATACAACATGAAAATTAAAATCATCAGTTTTGTTATACACTGATATTTCTAGTCCTTCTGTGGAAATATTAATATTTAAATCAAGGTAGTTAATGATTTTATTATTGGAACCAGCTCGCTCCATCTCCAATGAATTAGGATAAATATCTTTAATCAATTTATGAAAGTAAAGGTAGTTAATAATAGATAAATCGTCAACATATCGTTTATTATTGGATAATATCTTTGCTAATCCCATTTTCTTTTCCTGAAGTAAACGTTTCATATAATTAAATTCCTTTTTGCCAACAGTGAGATCAGCTATAGGGGAACTTGAATTTCCACCCATAGGAATACCCTTGGTTTGTATGAATACAATCCCACCGAAGACGACATAAGTGTTATAAATAATAAATTTAACAGCCTCTTTTAGGTCATCTTGACTAAAGCAGGCATGAGAATCATAGGTTTTATTGGAAAAGAAACATGTATTACTGTCTCTTTTAGAAATACAAATATATCTATTACGGTCTGAAAATATTAAATCAACAACTTCATTAATCATATTCTCTACTTCAATCAAGTCTAATCTGGTATAAAGAGTAGTAAAATCATATACTTGTATATTATAAACATCGCTATTTTTGATAGCTTCAAGGAATTCACTTGAGGAATCTATGCTCCAAAACATGTTTATACCGCTGTTGTTGTAGATTGCCTCGCAGTATTTCTTGAAGTATTTCCTCAAAAGTTTCAGACAACAGTTAACTTGGACGTTAAGTTGTTTCGTAACGCAAAAACGGGCACCTGCAATGAACCTCGCCTTGTAAGGGTTCTTATGAAGCTTAGGGTTCCAGAAGATGCGTGCTAGTCGCAAGTTTTTATCTTCAACTTGTACATTAAATCTCTCCTTTAGACTCTCAGATATTTTATTGACATAATGAGTCTCGTCTTCGCTACAGGGTTTATATGTATCATTACCTATACATTCTAGAGTATTAGGATCAAAACCCATTTCATTGACAAGAGTTTTTACATAAAACTTTTTACAAATAAATGAAAAATTACCAGAAGCTTTGTCGATACTACAAATAATGTATTTACTTTTCAGCAATTTAAGACTTCTTTTAACATCATCTTTTTCCAGTGTGTTTTCTTTTATTTCAAATGTTTCAGGAAAGTTTTTCTTGTAATATTCAATACGATTGGAAACTATTGATAACACTTTTTCCTTCCAATCGCTGAACTTTACTTCTTTTTGACAGTACTTTCTACTTTTTGATTTTATAAATTTGATTTTATAAATGACGATGGAAAACTCTTTGATGCTTCATCCAGGACGGGCTGTAATTGTTTTTTTCTAATGTGATAATTAAAAGTTATTCCCTCCTCCCCCTTAAGTTTTATACAGCGTTATAGTCACATTTTCTTTCTCTTTCGGATGGTCCAAGTTAGGTTGAATCCTGAAAAATCTTTCAGCTAACAGCTATCTCCAAATGTTTGAAACGTCCGCTTTGGGCGGTTATTATTGGATTTTGACGGTTTGGGCCTTTGGTATGGATTATGTCGGCGGTCGGCCGTCGGGGTTATCACAGATCACTATAAGTCTACAAGTACAAGTCTATGGAATCTCTGCCTTTGACTTATTGTCTACTTTTCATTTCAAATTTTGTATTTCTTAACCTCAATTTACTTTCCTTTGCACGGATTAATTGACAGACAAACCATGAGAAAAACTTGGGTTCACTCGAAGATTTGACTAATGATAGATGAATGCATATAATTTAAAGTGATATTATTTCAAATCATAAGGAGACACAATTCGCGCTATTGGTAGTACTAGGTTTATCATTGTCATATCCTGAGTCCTTCTTATCAACAAAATTCCATCATATCATATTCTTCCGAAATGTCTCCTACGCCGTAGTCTAGTCCACTGCAGCTGCTGTTGTGACCTGCACCAGAAACGTCTATCATATAGTGTCCGGTCTAGGATTAAAATATTACGTTTGATGAACTACTCATATCCATTTTATCAATGAAGCCACAAAAGATGTTCATACACATCTTTTCGGAGTATTTTAGATACTCATACAATCGTCCCTGAAAATCAATAAAAGTTAATATGCATCATTGTCAATGTCAGGACCTAATTTTCAATTCATAATATAGATGTGGATTCTGGAGGGGAAACTTTTTTCGACTCGTGGCAGCGATTCTTGGATTAGATTGGTCAATGCTTGAAGATGATTGGTTGATCGCTGTCATGTATCAGAAAGAATGTGTTTCACCTCCCCACCACAATCGTTTATACTATTAATAATATAATGTCAATTTTCCGAACGTGTTTTTCCACTCCTGTTTATTGCACTCCTCCTTCTCTTCACTCTCTCAATAATATGGCTAGTGTTGATATGTTTTGCTCGAGCTAATGTTTTGCTCGAGCTAATGTTTTGCTCGGGCTAATGTTTTGCTCGGGTTAATGTTTTGCTCGGGCTAATGTTTTGCTCAGGCTAATGTTTTTCTCGGGCTAATGTTTTGCTCGGGCTAATGTTTTGCTCGGGCTAATGTTTTGTTCGGGCTAATGTTTTGTTCGAGATAATGTTTTGCTCGGGCTAATGTTTTGCTCGGGCTAATGTTTTGTTCGAGCTAATGTTTTGTTCGAGCTAATGTTTTGCTCGGGCTAATGTTTTTCTCGGGCTAATGTTTTGCTCGGGCTAATGTTTTTCTTGGGCTAATGTTTTGCTCGGGCTAATGTTTTGCTCGGGCTAATGTTCTGCTCGGGCTAATGTTTTGCTCGGGTTAATGTTTTGCTCAGGCTTATGTTTTGCTCGGACTTATGTTTTGTTCGGGCTAATGTTTTGCTCGGGTTAATGTTTTGCTCGGGCTAATGTTTTGCTCGGGCTAATGTTTTGTTCGAGCTAATGTTTTGCTCGGGCTAATGTTTTGCTCGAGCTAATGTTTTACTAATAAAATTATCATCTTGTGCTCGCTTCATCTTTTGCAGTTTTTTGGATTTGCATTTTGTTCAGAAAAAAGATTTATCTTTTTGTGCAGAAAAAGTATCTATTATTTGTAAATCATGGCGCATAATTGTCAATGTCAGGACCTAATTTTCAATTCATAATATAGAATATAGATGTGGATTCTGGAGGGGAAACTTTTTCGACTCGTGGCAGCGATTCTTGGATTAGATTGGTCAATGCTTGAAGATGATTGGTTGATCGCTGTCATGTATCAGAAAGAATGTGTTTCACCTCCCCACCACAATCGTTTATACTATTAATAATATAATGTCAATTTTCCGAACGTGTTTTTCCACTCCTGTTTATTGCACTCCTCCTTCTCTTCACTCTCTCAATAATATGGCTAGTGTTGATATGTTTTGCTCGAGCTAATGTTTTGCTCAAGCTAATGTTTTGCTCGGGCTAATGTTTTGCTCGGGCTAATGTTTTGCTCGGGCTAATGTTTTGCTCAGGCTAATGTTTTTCTCGGGCTAATGTTTTGCTCGGGCTAATGTTTTGCTCGGGCTAATGTTTTGCTCGGGCTAATGTTTTGTTCGAGATAATGTTTTGCTCGGGCTAATGTTTTGCTCGGGCTAATGTTTTGTTCGAGCTAATGTTTTGTTCGAGCTAATGTTTTGCTCGGGCTAATGTTTTTCTCGGGCTAATGTTTTGCTCGGGCTAATGTTTTTCTTGGGCTAATGTTTTGCTCGGGCTAATGTTTTGCTCGGGCTAATGTTCTGCTCGGGCTAATGTTTTGCTCGGGTTAATGTTTTGCTCAGGCTTATGTTTTGCTCGGACTTATGTTTTGTTCGGGCTAATGTTTTGCTCGGGTTAATGTTTTGCTCGGGCTAATGTTTTGCTCGGGCTAATGTTTTGTTCGAGCTAATGTTTGCTCGGGCTAATGTTTTGCTCGGGCTAATGTTTTGCTCGGGCTAATGTTTTGCTCGGGCTAATGTTTTGTTCGAGCTAATGTTTTGCTCGGGCTAATGTTTTGCTCGAGCTAATGTTTTACTAATAAAATTATCATCTTGTGCTCGCTTCATCTTTTGCAGTTTTTTGGATTTGCATTTTGTTCAGAAAAAAGATTTATCTTTTTGTGCAGAAAAGTATCTATTATTTGTAAATCATGGCGCATAACAAGTGGTCGACGACAGTACTGCTACAGTCCTGCGGAAGTTCTGCGGAACGGCGACAGAACTGCGGCCTCGGTCATTTTATATAATTATGAACCATTGTTGATTATTTAGTGACATTAAGGGATTAAGCATTAAGCAAGATGGCAAAATCTGTGCAATGAAAAGTTTGTATTCCCCTGGATAAAAAGAAAGCAAAGCAAACGATGATCTGTTCCTTTAATGTAGTGGCAATGTTGAAAAATTATATATGAAAATGCTCAGCTAAATCACTGTCAATAGTTTTCAAACATTCCTTCCTAGTTCTGGAGAATTTCCAGAAAGCTTTTCCATTGTCTTCTGAATTCGCCATGAAACAATGCATGAACAATCGTTTTCGCTGGGTGTTGACCGTATTGTGATATCGGCGTGAATTGTCTATACTGTTGTTCGGCATCGTGCCTTCACATATTAATCACTCCCATTCAGATTCAATCAATTCCTTAGACTTGAGATTAGGCCTGATCATTAAACACACATATCAGTGCTAACCCTGTGCTGTGCTGTTTGTTTCTATTCCCTGCATCTGGAGAATACGTGCCGACAGAGCCTGTGTTAAAGAGGTCTCTACTAGACATAGTTAGGGCCGTTTATGATTTTGACCGCTGACAATTTAGTCTGTTCATTGTTATCAATTCCATCCTTGGATTAAAATGAAAGTGTCGTGAGATCGTGGTTATGTCTGATGGATTTCCATTTACAGCAGTCTAGTAACGTCAATTTCATGGTTATCAAATTATAATCAATGTAACTGTGTTATATATGACAATATTGCATGCCCTTGTATTCGATCTGAGACTGTTATAGTAATCTTTTGTCGCGACCCGATCTCGATCATTCCACTTGGGTTAGTCTTTCATTATTTCGGGCATGATATCGATTAATTGTACAGTACCTAGCTCGTAAAAAATACCGTTTACTAAAATGCAAGAACAAATATTTGTATCACGGCTAATCATCAACATTTATTTCCGATGACTTGATGCCTTAAAAAATGCCACAATATCGGCCCAAATTTGAACAAATTTCCATTTACTCGTACTGTTCATTATTAGAGCCGTCCATAATTTTGACTGCTCAGACCTTTGTCATCCACAAAAAAGGGCTGTCAAGGTAACCTGCCGTGATATAATGCTACAATGTGAAAATATCCGTCATTTTGCACCCTTTTGAGCTTCTTTAAGCAGACAATATTGCTGTAAATTTCGTGTGCATCACGTTTTCCGAATGCCTAAATTTGACAAACCCACATACTTTTCACACGGTCACTACTCTTCAGACATTTTTGGTGATGCTACTTACAAATTACAAGAGATCCAGTAGATCGAGTTCGTGTAGAGAAACCCTAACTGAGATGTTTCACACGTGCATTATATTTATAACACCATAATACCCTTGCTATACTACAATGTCGCATTAATTTCCAATTTTAATATTTTAGACGAATTGGGACAAGTCAAACTAACATGTCAGAAAGTCAGAAAGGAAATATCGGGTAGGGCTTCTTAGCACATGTCATTTTGCCACGTGTAATTTCCGTTGAATTTTAAGACACTAGATGATGAGCTTTACAGAATAGCTAATTAAGTTAAAACTAGAAGTTCTCCAAACTCCGGGGCCGATAAGTCTGCTGTATTAAATCTAGCTGTTAAACATGAAACTATAAGTTGGATAATCCCCAGTTCTGGTAATAGTAGCGGATGGTTATGGTATTACTACCGCAGTATTGCCGTCACCATCCACTTATACGACCCATTTTAAGTTTGTTTTTTAGTCTAATTTATTAGAAGGGCTGCAATACAGTATACACTAAAACTGTGCTAGTTGAAGTATATTTGACTGCCTTGATTGTGCGGATTGATGCCAAGTATTTTGCAGGGCTGATATGGTATTATCAAACTAAAGGAGTTAAAATGAGAGTAAGACCTCCAAGTTCTGAATAAGATCATCCGCATATCCGGCTGTTTTGCTATTTATAGAGTTACTATAATCATCGTTAGGAGTTATTTTAAGCTCTTCCTCGACAAATGAATCTGTAAACATGATACACAGATTAAATTTGATACGTGCCGTTTCTCCGAGTATTTATTTAAACGTAACGGCATAGTTAGCTTGCTTGTTCCTAAACATTTCATGTAAACCTGCGATTGAAGTCATAACTTTTTTAAAATGCGAAGTTGTACATAAATTTCGACGCAGGAAATTTATAAATTGTAATAAATCGTTTTTTGTTTCTGCGATATTTCCCCTCGTTTAGATATAATTTCCATTTCTCCTGAAACACTTACAGAAGATCTTTAAAGGCGGGTTCTATAGCAGTTTACGGGAGATGGTCATGTCCATGTTGTAGCGGTATATAGTTGTCGGCTCGGTTCGTTGTGATGTCTGAGAACAATGTTGAGCTCAGTACCAAGCGTGCCTCAAGCTTATTCGATCTGTCCGAGCACAAGTTCCCCGATGTTGACGACCTCGCCGTGAATGAGCGTCCTAATTGTGACAGCCCTGCTGCTCTAGTGTGGCCGCCTAGTGCCCTGACATTGCCTCTATGTGAAGCTCCTCCGGAGGATGGTTTTAGGGTTTCAAGTTGGGGAGCTCTGCTGACAGATAAAGAAACTCAGACAAACAATGCTTATTCTCCTGCTTTCCCTACTGATGCCACCATGGCAGTCAAAAACTGGGTCAACCTGTTAGTATTGGCGATCACGTGATCCCTGTCTTACCTTTAGAGTTATCTGGTTATACTTATAGTATATAAACAATATATCGGTCTCTAGAAATTATAGTGTAAACAATGTCCCGTGAGATTTACTTTTCTACTTGCTTTGTTATTTACCATTCTAATTTCAGCTACCAGTTCAGCACAGCCAAAGATAAACCAATGGCGAGAAATGGATCTGGGCAATTCAATACCCGTAGAAGAGGTAAGAGAGCATGTTTTTATTATATGCTGTTTAATTAATGATCGCCTCTCCAGTCTTCATGATATATTCTTTATACCGTACGTGTTTCCCGTACGTGTTAGGGGTCGTTGATATATTATGTTATCACTTTTTGGCTAATTCTTTTAAATTCCCCCACCCCTTCCGTAAATAGTTTTACGCATAGCTTAAGCTATAATTGTGTTAAAATTACAATTATTAAGAAACTCCCTCCCTCCCTCTGACCCTTATAATATACGGAAACATAAACCGAAACGGAGACATGCAGGCAAACTCGTCAGTATGTTCAACCGGATATTGCTTTTCCGGCCAATTTCTATATTAATTGATTACATTAAATGATAAATAAGTTAAATGATAAATCGTGTTGAATAGATATCTTCATGGCTTCGGTTAGATCGTTTGGCTCTAATCTACATGACACAATGCTTCGAGGGATCACTCATGATTACTTATTAGAACAAATTATTATCAAATGTCTTGATCGAGCCATCTCGATTGAATTTTAATTACTTTTAAACTATTAAGGCCAACGAATGGGTACTGACTTTTGGCCCACCCTGTATTTTCACAACTTCAATTAAATACATATAAATTGAGGTGATACTCGCTTGTGGATGGCCATAAAAAGCCGAAACTAGTCGAATCACAAGCGGGTCACCTCGAGGACCGTGGTACATCGTTTTCATGCTTCCATAACTACTTCCAATTTTAATTACTTAATTTATTTCTATTCCTCAGAAACAGTTTCAACCATTGATAGTCATGCTGTTCATAAACTTGGGAACGCTCCAATGTCTCAAACTTCTTCCAGACAAAGGTAAACGTTAATATTCATAATTATCCTTTAAACTTACAAAATTATTTGCATTAAAAGTACAGCGAAATTAGTTCGTATATTAATCAGTCATTTATGGACATTTAAGGAAATGAACCTGCAAATTTTCAGATACTCACGAAACTTTGCACAGACCTTCCCAAAGGTATGAATAAACGAGTTTCGGTTGGAGACATATTTTTACCGTAGGGAAAACCCAGGAGAGCCACGCCCATATTGACCCAATAACGTTACTGACCCTTTGCTTCTGAAGGTCGTAGAGACTTCAAAATAGACTTAACGAAGCCGCACATGTACTATGTTTATATAGAAGTTATTTATTAACACATGGCCTAAAATCCTTACTTTTCGAGATAAAGTCTTCGGATAGAGTGCAAAAGAACCCCAATTGGCATATTTATATACAACTTACGAAAATACATATGCCTTAAAGTTAAAGTGCTTACATTTTCAGTTATTGGCGAAAAGTTGATTTTCGGTTCCAGGCATATGTTTCTTCGTAAGTCGTATATAAATATGCCAATTGCTTTTTTTTACACCCTATCCGAAGACTGTATCATAATCCTATCAAAAATTAGTAAAATTGGCTCAGCGCCACGCCCAAAATAGTTTTTGGCGAATTTCTCGAAAAGCAAGGATTTTAGGCCATATGTTTATCGATAACACCTATATAAACATGCACATGTGGCTTCGTTTAAGCCTATTTTGAAGTCTCTACGATCTTTAGAAATAAAGGGTCACTTCGGTCGTTGGGTCAATATGGGCGTGGCCCTCCAGGGTTTTCCCAAGGTAAAAAAATGTCTCCAACCGTAATTCGTTTATTCATACCTTTGGGAAGGTCTGTGAAAAGTTTCGTGAGTATCTGAAGATTTTCAGGTAGATGTCCTTAAATGACTGGACTATATTATCATTATAATCAATTGTTCGTCCTCTTTGTGACACCATGCCTTTATGAGATGCTCGTATCCAACACAATTAGGGAGGCGTATGTCTCTAGACATCCCTAGGGGACATTATAGGCCGGACTCTAGGAGCTCTAGAGGCTCTAATGAATCTGTGGAGAAGTTAGTATCGGTTGGATTCCAAAACCCACTTTCTTGCATGCATGCTGTGAACCATGGTGAAAACCCCGTCTGTCCAAATAAACCCGGCCTGTTAGTAAATAACTTGTCAAACCAGTCGAGGGGTTATTACGTTTGTAGCAGAGGTTTAATACTCATGATTTTGCATGGTACGAATTAATTTAAGGTATTCTAACTTTCTGAGCAGGAGTGGGCTGTTAGCACAAGTATGAAGTATGTGCAAATAGTAGTACTATAACATTAGATTTTAACGTTTCTGACCGCTGCAATACGAATAATTTTAGGGTCTTGCTAGTTCAGTTGTACGTGCTAAGACAGACGTGTAAGAAGTCAGACTCAATTTAGTAAAAATTCTGATTTTTAACCCTTGAATAATTGTGGTCCAATCAGGAGTTAAAATCAAAAAATATGAACATTATTATCACCGGATTTCCTTAGACAGTAATTCGTGTCAGTTAGTGATGTACGTTTTGTTAAAGCAAAAGTGGAACTTATTCAGCTACTTTAATAAGTGTTAAAGGTGTCGGTAAAATGTTTACCATCAACACCCGATTTATTTGGACAGTTACTTTTGCCAGTAAGAGGCCTGTTTAACTGATGTGAACGGTTGGGTGTCAGAGAGGCACCACAACCACTAGTTAAACTCTAAAAACGTGTTCAAGCTGTCTGATAACGGAAACAACCGCTTGATTGGTTGCAGACTGCTGATAGGAGCTGATATTTCCAGCTGACAGCACACGAAGTGCTATAACACTAATAGTTTCAGGCTTGTTAGCCTTGATTGTATCATTATGTAACCAGTGTCTGTCTGTCTGTCTGTCTGTATGTCTGTCTGTCTGTCTGTCTGTCTGTCTGTCTGTCTGTCTGTCTGTCTGTCTGTCTGTCTGTCTGTCTGTCTGTCTGTCTGTCTGTCTGTCTGTCTGTCTGTCTGTCTGTCTGTCTGTCTGTCTGTCTGTCTGTCTGTCTGTCTGTCTGTCTGTCTGTCGGTCTGTCTGTCTGTCTGTCTGTCTGTCTGTCTGTCTGTCTGTCTGTCTGTCTGTCTGTCTGTCTGTCTGTATGTATGTCTGTCTGTCTGTCTGTCTGTCTGTCTGTCTGTCTGTCTGTCTGTCTGTCTGTCTGTCTGTCTGTCCTAATATATTAATATAATCCTCTCAATAGTGTGACATCCACGCCGATGGTGCGGAAGGACAGTAATATGAGTAACCAGGAAGCTGAAAAGGTCATGTTTTCCCCCCTCCCCGATGACACCAAGCCTCCTTATCAGTACCACACACGACTCAAATCTCTTCAGAGTAGAATTTACGACCTTCTGGAAAACCCCGAAACTAGTTTGGTTCGTGGGCCTAAATAGTCTTTTATCGATTTAATTGTGTTATTACTTACACACTGCGCACTTTTAATTTATTATCTTGATATGCTGCATTTTTATCAACTTGAAACTAAAATTTATTTGGATATTACATGCACATTAATGCACATTTCTTCATTGAAACCTTCCTCATCAGCTGAATTTTATCAACTTGATAAAAGATTTGTTGGGATGCATACACATTTTAACCTTCTAACATCTAATTACTTTTTCTGAACATCTAACTGAAAAGACGCATATCTTCATTCGAATCTTAACTTAAGGAGCCCATGCAAATTTCAAAACTTCTAGTGCCCACCGATTTTTCAACTGATTTTTATAGTTAATATGAGGGGTACTCCCCACATTTTTTCGTCCAAATCATACAATATGAACAACAAATTATAAGATGAGCTTTACCTGCGTAACACGCCGAATATGGCCCAAGAACCGTTATTTCGGTTGAATATAAATTCTATAAAAATTAGAGGTTTTTCAAAAACCCCAATTTTTGCCATTTTTGGGGTTTTTTACCAAAAGTTCGCTAAAGATAATATATGTAATGTTTGCTTCAACGCAAGATGCCTGTTTTGGCCAACAATTTTGTGGAGGTAGCACTCATATATACACATGATAATCTGTTGACAACTCGGTGGTCATCCGAAGTTTTGAAATCTACATGGGAGTCCTTAAATCTTAAGGTTGTTTTTTGGAAATTTAACGAGCAAATTTCCATCAGGCAGCAAAGATATTCAGTTGGGTGAGCATGATTTTAATCGTATTTTCGGTTGGAACCTTTATAGCCGAAACCATGCCTGAATACAAAGACGATCTGAGAAGGGTAAGTACATCTTATGTCTATCTAATGAACATTAAACACTTTCTTTAGCACTTTCTTCAGTAATTTTGATGCACTTTTTAGCACTTATAATTAGAACTTTTTGGATTTTTAGTAGGGAGGCAGACTAATCGTGGTGAATTTACTGTTCACAGTACACGATATGAGCTTGTTTCCAAGCTGTGTACTGTGTACTGTACACGATACGAGCTGGTTTCCAAGCTGTGTACTGTGTACTGTACACGATACGAGCTGGTTTCCAAGCTGTGTACTGTGTACTGTTACTACACGATACGAGCTGGTTTCCAAGCTGTGTACTGTGTACTGTTACTACACGATACGAGCTGGTTTCCAAGCTGTGTACTGTGTACTGTTACTACACGATACGAGCTGGTTTCCAAGCTGTGTACTGTGTACTGTACACGATACGAGCTGGTTTCCAAGCTGTGTCTCTCTGTTTTGGTCAACGGTTTCTGGCCTCCTAGTGAAGAGGGAGGCCTTCTCGCCGTGCCCACAGAGTGTGACTCCTGCTAGCCACACTCCAGGACTCCCTAAGTATATACAAAAACATAGAATAATAGATATCAACGCAACAGACCTCTGGAGTCTCGAAGCTGTTACTACCTTGCTCAGAGCAAACCCACTTCAGATGTTCTTCTTTGGCGGGCAGGCGAGGGACTTCCGAGCATGGTCCACACCTGAATATGTGTCACTATCTGAGATAGTCCTGTGTGGGTCTAGTGTATGATTGTTTATGAACCTTGGTGGATGTCCTAGATGCTTATCCAAATAGATCGTCTCTGTCAAACCTTGTTGACTGTTCCACGAATTTGATAATGTGGTCGAGCTTACTATTGATGAGTTCCTCAATTGTTAGGATGGGTTTACCAAATATCATCATTCTAGTTGTCATCAGCTGGATGCATTCACATAGGAAGTGTTGTGATGTTTCTGCTTCCCCTGGGCAGTGTTCACAGTCTTGTGTTTCGAAATTGGAGTTGTTTGCTACCGTCTGGAAGTATGCTAGTGGGCTGTGTCCTGATAGTAGCCATGTTAGCCATCTGATGTGAGTACCTGTGATGTTAATTTTCTTGTACCTGTTTTTGTTGAGGAAAAATGTTAGTGGGGTTTTTCCTTTATCACTGAGTGCCACCTGTTTATACTTCTTGATATGGAGATTGAAGAGGTAATCTTTTATTTGGGTGTTGATTATAGTTCTTTACCGTATACTCCTTCATAACATGTCCTGGAACAAAGTTCTACTCGATGCAAAAACCTAGCGAGTTGAGTTGGTCTGAGATGTTCAGAACGAACCTGGAGTTAAAATTGGTGCTGTTAAGGGCTTTAAATGCAGCCTGAGAATCTGAGAGGAATTTATGATTGATTGAGATCCTAAGATATCATTAGTCCAGATACTTGTCATGTATAACGCAAATAGCGGGTACGATTTCCTCAATGAACCTGAAGAAGGAATATCTGTCCTGAATTGATACCATGTAACGTCGAGCTTAAAAATGAATCAAAAGTTCGAGTAAATCGTTAAACGTTGTATGTCCTATTTGCATCCCCTAAGCATTGCATTGATGTTTATTCCTGGTCCGGTTAGCTTTGCGTCTCAGAACTAAAGAGGTCCACTATGCTTTAATGTCCACCAGGGTACTGTAGATCTAAGGGTTCCCGTGAATGGGGCAGGCTGTGATAAAGCATCTCTGCAGGATGTCCGAGATGAACTGATTCGAGTGTTGAGAACTTCCGCTGTAGAAACTGAATAGAACCAGTAAGGATGTCAGTCAAACTCTGCTGCTACTAGATGATTGTAGAGCGTCCAGTCACACTTCAATAAAGAGTGTGGCAAAGCTAACCCGGTCCCCTGAAAAGTGGTTACTGGAGGAAGAAGTTCCAGGAATTCTCGTTATCAGTGTGTCCTCGTAGTCAGAGTTGAAATCCCTAATTCTGTCTTATCACGAGCCTGTGTCTAGCGTGTGTCAGCCCTTACGCATTAGCTGTCTTAACTGAAAAGACCTGAAAAGTGGTTACTGGAGGGAGAAGTGCCAAGACTACTCATTATCAGTGTGCCCTTGTAGTCAGGATGAGCGAATTGGAATCCCTAGCTCTGTGGTGGGTGACTTCGATGGGACCTAAAAGCTGAAAGAGAATTTCCTGGTGATTTAATAGCTCTTAGAGCTAGGTATCTGTGTCTAACGTATCGTCATTTGTGTGTGTACTATCTTGTAACCTGATATCTGAAAGAGAAATTTCCTGGTGCTTGGTAACTGTTATTGTTGACTTCCTGGTTCCCATGGGAACTTTGAGTTGGCAAGTCCCAACCTTAGTACTCAACAAGAGAGCACACCACCCGTTAGTGCCAACCAGGCCACACCACGTGGAGGTTCGGAGAGGATTTCGTGACCCTTCCAAGCTGTGTACTGTGTATATGTTCGGTAAAGTTAATCGCTTACGTTTCTTTTGTCCTTACTCTTTTACGTCAGAAAATTCTTCCGTATTCTTCAAATATGATTGGATTAATGCCCGTGTGAGGTTTTTCCTCCAGATAGTTTTGTTCTCTTATCTTTGTGAGAATATTTTGGATATGTTTTCAGTTTAATGGAGCCAAGTAAGCAAAGATACCAGTATTCTATTAATTGATGCTTTATACAGTCGATATAGCTGAGACAATAAAGTGAACAAGCATGTTTTGTCCTATTTATGGTGCTTGGTCACACGTATAATTAGAATTTATAGAATGCATTCCATGTATTAAAGACAAATTATATTCACATAATTAGTTGACAATTGCTATTATTAGTTGCGGACATCATCTGGCATGAGTGACAATGTATCAACTATCTCACTTGAATGCAGGCGCATTGATCAACGAAGTATTTTACAATCCTACAAAAGAGATAAGCTCGGACTAATTATAAATTAAGAAGTATGCTTTGTTCTAATAATCTAACCAACGTTTTTCCCACAGCCTTGGCAGGAAACAACTACCGGGATATTTTTCTTCAGTTTTGAAACGTGTTGCATAATATTCTTTACAATTGAACTCCTTGGGAGATTCACTACGTGCCCTAAAAAGGTTTGTGGGGTTTTCCTTCTTTAAAAATAAGATTTGGTGATTGAAAAACGTTTTTAAGTTATCTAACTGGTGACATACAATTTATATTATATAAGGTGGAAAAGAAATTTCTTAGTCATAAGTTGTAACAATTAACACAGAAAATTCGTTTCAGAAAAAGTTTGCGAGAAACAAGCTAAACATCATAGATTTAATATCTATCGTACCTTACTACATAGAACTTATTATTCCAAAGGTATGTGTATTTAGAATTATCTTAACATTTTCATGTTACGTTATATTTGCTGATATGCAAGCATTAAAAATTTCGTCGCCCCCCTTGAAGATGAATGGCCTGAGAAAGGCCTAAGATGACAGTTGAAGGGGTTTATTGGGTAGGGCTGACCGGCGGTGACTCATGGGGGAGGGTCTTAAAATTCAAAAAACGAATGTTTGAACACCCCGGATATCTTCACGGTACATTGAAATTAATAGATTATTATCTTTCAATTATTGTTTATTACATTATTCGTGAGTAAGCTGTCCACGGACCACGTACGCACATAAATTATACCATTAGTCTCATTGGTAATTAAGTGTATGTGACGATTGATGATTAAATCGGTTAGTTCAAGCAGTCGAAAGTCACCGGCAAAATGAAAAACTAGGAAGAAATCCTGAAAATTAAGCAAACTAATTTTTGTTCTGACTTTGACAGTCAGGGGTGTAGGAATGACTTTCTTCATTGGGGGGGGGGGGGAGGGGGGGGCAGTCGCCCCCCCCCCCCCCCCCCCCCTCCCGCTTCCTACACCCATGTTGACAGTCTATATATACTATATAATATATATGAATCAATCTGTCAACTATTCTCATTATATCTAACGACCTTTGTTAAAAATAGTAATCATGTACTTTAAACAAACCCCATGACAGAAAGAAGACGCGAATGGGGTGAGTGCTGGAAACAAAATATAAATTGTGTTGTTCTACCCCCTTAACTACACAGAAGTGATTTGTTCTACCACTCTCATAGCTGATACATATTTGATAATAGCACTGGAAGCACATCATGTTTCATTCATTTTCATGAAGATATAATATACTTTCAACAGTTGGTTTATCACCTAATTGTGTGATTCATTTTTAAATTTAAACGAACCAGCTGGCTTAGTCGTTGGGGATATATTATATGTTTCTAATAAATGATCAGCTAAAAAAGCAGGGCTACCCGCTACATCCATTATTTCACTTTACTTGCCCAATTTGAATTTGAAATTTCCAAAATATTTTCAGCCTACATATTTAGAGTATAGCATAATTAATATTGACCAAATGTTTAAGATAGAGTGATTGTCTTTGGATGAAGCCTGTCTGGTGACTAGATTGTTTAATAAAAGGTCTTTTGCGTGAGAAATTGATGAGCTTTGAACCATAAAATCTGCTCATTTCATACCCACTGGCCGTACCTCGGTATTTTGTTTTATTTCACTCCTGCAACTCATCTAAACCTATTTTATTCACTATTCTTAGACTTCCACAATTTAGTTTTTCCCTTCGCTGTTCGAGAGATAAAAATCAGATGGCACCACCATTAGCATTATCGTCTCTGAACACTCGTTTCAGAGGCACCAATGATAATGCCGTCTGGTCAATTTTCCTTGAACGAAAAGTTCATAAAAACTGCTAATCTTAACCATCAACTTCTTAATTATTACGATGGTATTGTTATGTAAGCTTCTACATCTGAATGTTTTATTGGGATTTTTTTGACTTTCACACTTGGCTAAAGGGATTCTTGGCCTCTTAAGTTGTATTGTTGTCTTATTCATGTCTCTGATTAATGTTCATTTTGTGATGCTTCATGTCATATGTTGTTTTATTTTTATGTTATGTCGTTATTTTTGTGCTATGGTATTTTAATTCTGTTGTGTTTCAACCATAAAATATTTACAGAAACATTTTGCCCTGTTTAATTTTACCTTTGTAGCATTAAACCAAATTTTGGAGCTCTATTCTAAGGACCCTCTATTTCAGGACCTCAATTCAATAGGATCATTGGTGATCCTCAGAGTCCTAAGACTGTTCAGAGTCCTCAGGATATTCAAATTATCACGGCACAGCAAGAACATGATCGCGTTTGGTATAGCTCTCCGATCAAGTTTAGCGGAGCTCTTATCACTCGGACTGTTTCTTTCTATTGATGTAGTTGTATTTGCTAGGTGGGTATAGTTTCGGCTTTTTTGATATTTAATGGCGTTTTACAGATTATTTCGCTCACGTAATTTTCTCAACTGATAGACAAATACCTTCTCAACCCTTTTAATGTTTACCCCCTTTTTCTCAGTGCGTTGTACTACTGCGAGATGGACCCGGATGCAGAAAATCCGACGACCAAGTTCGACAGCATTCCAGCATCCTGCTGGTGGGCGGTGGTGACTGTAACCACCCTAGGATATGGTGACATGTACCCTGAAACACCCCTCGGCAAGGTGTTGGGCACTTTCTGTGTCTTTAGTGGTATTCTTGTCATCGCTTTTCAGATGCCAATCATGGTGGCAAAGGTCAGTTTAGATCTCAAGAATTTCTTTTGCAAGTCAAAGGAGACCGCAAAACGTCCGCGGTTTAGATCTCAAGAATTTCTTTTGCAAGTCAAAGGAGACCGCAAAACGTCCGCGGAATTTCATGGTGAAATTTACTGAAATTAGAAAGTCGTCATATCCTGGATAATATGTTTGTAGTGGTACTGGAATTCTTTTGGGGAGCAATTTGAACGGATAGACTTTATTTGAACGGATGAACACTAGGGCCTCTAGCGTACACGTGATATACGTTCAAATAAAGTCCGATACTTAATGCTATTTGAGTTATAAATCCAAAATCTTAACCCTTTCAATTTCTCAGTTCACCTGGACCTTCATGCAAAACACCAACGGTTCGGAGGAAGAGGATGAAGAAGATGAGGACCCAGACCTTTACGACGAGCTGGATGAGGATAAATTCTTAGAGGAGGAGGAAGAGGGACTCTTAAAACCGGCTAACGGGGGAACCAAGGAACTCTCAGCAGCTTGAACCATGCTGTGATACTAAAATATTTTAGTTCAAGTCGATATTTAAGATACCGATCAAGACAAGGAAAGGTATAAATGTAGATTCGTCAACAGAGTTTCTTAAAGTTACTGACCACACAAGCTGGTAACGGGTCTGGTCAATAAAATCAAAAGATTTGGGACTTTTTACTGACGAGTAGAACTGCAGGCCTTGAAGCGAGAGAAGACCTGTTGGATTATGATTAAATGACTGAAGTGCATATTCTTTTACCAACCTGACTCAAGTATTGAGCAGGTACAGAATTATACCTCAGGTAACATTAAATTTTATTTACTTTAGAATGGGATATAGGATTGACAGAAAATATGGTTCTTATGATTTTAAGGGTCTCGAATCATTGCACGGATTTTGTGCCCCCATCAGTGCCCCTACGTGAGAAAGATTGATATTATCAATTAATATGGATGTGGTGCTGTTCAAGTAAAGCTAATCTATTTTTGTTCGTTTATAAATATGATTAAGGAACAAAAATTTGCCCGATATTTTACCTATGCCAGATTTAAAGTCTATCATATCGCTTATACAACACCTACCCTTATCGTAAACCTAACACTTAACTTAGCTTTAACATAAACTAAGAGACTGTTCATTATTCAATTAAATCCCCAAGTTAGTGAATAGAAATTAAAATGCTGTTAGATCGATATTGATAAAATCATAGAAGGAAATATCAAAGACCTTCGACGGGCAAACTGTTAGTATTGGCAAGAGAGATTTTTGCCTATCGATGAGCAAAGTCAGATTAGTTTGAATCAGCAGTACCACGCCACTTACCTTGATATAAGTTTCACATTACATAAAGTCTTTTGATTAGTTGACGGTTGATTTTAAATAGCAATCTCAAACCTAAAATATCCTTTATATGCTTCATAAGCACATTTGAGACGGATTTATAAAGAGCGGATTTGCAAGTCATTGTGAGACAGATTTGAGAAGGTTAACCTGGCGAAATACCGTATTTTTACTTTATTTATCGATTTTGTACCGACAAATTATACGAGTTTAATGTTCGCTCTGTCGAATAAATAGTGCTATTTTCTGCGTCACAATTATGGTAAACAGATTTTATTAAGCTCGGTTTTTAGAGTCGACTCCGTTGGAAGCAGAATATTACTATCAGAGATTCGGAAATTAAATCGTGCTTTGTTAAAAGTCCGAATCCATTTCAAATGCCTAGTATTCTAGGTATTTCTTATACTGAGTCGAATCCATGATAATAAAATCAGTTCAACGTGCGACTCCAGAACTATGCGTTTTTAATAACAATAGTAAACAGTTGACATGCGTCACAATAGTGAAGAAGTAACAATAGTCACAATGGTAAGCAACTGAAGCGTCTTACTCTCTCTCTCTCTCAACACATTGAAACATACAAAAAACGAACGTAATAATCCCAATGATAGGTGGCTATACGATCTTTATTAAGTTATTACCCACTGTGTCTCCTAAGCCTAATATTCGGTTTACATTGTGATTGAGGTCTGAGGAATAGTCATTCAGCATTCACAATCGATCATTGTCTCTACATGTATCAAGATAGTTTATCCAAAGAAAATCGACTAATGTTATTGTCTGTAGAAAGAGGAGATCCAAAGAAACCTTAAGTAAAACGACACGAGCCAATCGAAGGAAACATTTGTATGAAAACATAGAAACGCTTGCTGATATGACCGATCATGAGCTGCCTCAGTCTCTTTCGTCTTCGAATCAGCGTCCTGCGTGAATAATCATGTCCGGTAGATAATTCGGCACTGTGCATGTGCCAAATTATCTTAAACTAGTGTAACCCTGCGGCCGGGACTTCACTATCGCAGTTGAATCGCAAAAGTATAAACAGTGTAAAAGTCAAAATTGTGCAAAAATATAAACTCGCTTAGTTGATCAAACCGACCGCATTAGAGTAAATTTAATTCTGAGCGCTCATCAAGTAATAATAATATACGTATCCAATAGTAATCCTTAATATAGGCTCCACTGCCAAATTACCTAATTATGTACAAAGCAGTAATTAGGGGAGTTGTAAATGAAAATGAGGAGAGTGAGTGAGAGAGAGAGAGAGTGAGTGTGTGAGAGAGGGACAAAAAGTGAGTCACTTAAATATCATTATCACATTTGCAGTACAAAACCATCAATTAAACCACTAACCACCGACCAATTAAAAAAAGAAGCTCATACATTCCACAATGTTAATTTTACAAAACATGTAATGTGGGTTTCCAAGAAAATAACGAGGTGATCTTAACTTTTAGTCCACGTTGACAAGTAACATAGTTTTACTTGTTGCATGAAAAGCACTAATAGAAAGATATTGGATAGTTTACTCAGGCTCTTTAGGTCATACCCCACAAATACAATCAACAATGTTTATTTCAAAATAAAACAAGTTCTTTTTATTTAGGGTTCTTTTAAAACTTTTTTTGGGATTTTTTGGTTTTTTGCAGTAATAATGGTATAAGATAGTAACAGTATGAATAATCGAGCATATCTCAAATACTTGAAATTCAAAAATATTCGAAGTTTCAAATTTCAATTTATTCAAGTTATCGATGCAACTTAAAACTGGTCAAACATTGCATCTAAACTTCGATCATGGACTCAAAATTTAAAAAATAAAAACTTAATCACAATGTCAATAATGTTCAAAGCTCAATAATTGACTGTTAAAAATGTAAAATTGTATATGACTCGATGCAATGACACTAGAATTATCATTTCAATGATTAATCTTTTCAAAATCATTTCATTTCCATCGGCAACAATCTCCAACGAATCCCAGTAGTATTGGCAGTACACCATGTTGATCTCGTCTCATCATTTGTTTATCTGGAATACAGTAGAGATCGTTTTTCAATCTATAGTTCCTCCATTGTGACAGCATTTTCAGGGGAAATACTTCCTCCCTTTGTTATAAGCGCCAGGCAATGGTAGTTCCTTGATATCAAGTCCGTAGAAATAATTTTGGAGTTTCCCGAACAAGAAAGATTTTCTTTGCGTTTTTGAGGTATCGTAAAAGTTTGGCATCGGTAGGGCATAGCTGTCAGGTTTCGTTAATCTGAAGAAATGATTGTTAGAAGAAATGTACAATTCGATGTTAGCAAATTTACCATTAAGATTTCAATCGATCGAATACCTGTTTACGTAAAATATGAAATTAATTAAAACGTTAAAATCTAACCCGGATAAGATAAGGAAAACGATTGAGATGACTATGCCAATCGCGAAGATTATTGCAGCAACATGTTTAGCATTTCGTACTACCATGTCATTTGCCTTGAGGAGTATTGGTTCTATGAAGTTTCGATAGGAATATGTCATTTTGTAGCTGATCATCTCCTTTGAATAATATGAGTGTCCTGTCGCAGGATCTTCTCCTTCCATCTCAACCATCCTGTCTGAAAATTATCATTGTACTGATTTGTTCATAATACTATTACTGTCAAGTCAATGAACTTATCTAAACTAAAAAAGTCAAAGTGGATGACAATAAAAATAATTCGGAAAATTCTTCAAATCTAAATTCTGCAAACTCTTACTGCTATATCGATTGATTTCCTCGTAAAGCTCAACTGATTTTAGTCCAACTTTTTCGTGCAGATGAAACAGTTCTAGGAAGCACTTGTCACTCTGCAAACTGCCTCTATCAGTACCAAATGGTACTCTGCAAACTTTGTTCAACAACTCAATATAGTCGTGGTGCAGCATCCTAACAAATTCTGAAACGAAAGGGAATATGTTAATTCAACTTTTTGTTTCGACGAAAGGGTGGGAAATAAAAGAACCGTACATGTTTTTTTGGGACCGGTTTTTGGTGCACCGGTCAAACATGAAATTCGAAGATTTCTAAAATGATTTTGTGCTTACCCTCTGGATCTGACAGGTTGATGACGTCATATTCGTTGAGTAGGTACAGTGCTGTCGGTGCAATGCACATAAGTGCAATTAGAATCATGATTTTCATGACTGGTCGGAAGTTGAACCGAGAAGTGTCCGTCAAATTTAAACGTTGTGTAGTTAATTGTACAACAAAAGAGATTTGAAATTTGGAAAACTGAGCTCCACGTGCTCAATGACAGGGAAAATTTCCGGGTTTTTGTTGTTGCTATGTTGCCACGTGCTCCTTCATAAAAACAATTGCCACCTTATTGGTAGAAAAATCTGGCGAAGTTTTATTCGAATTGCATTGTTGACAGATCATCTTTTGAATTAAATCTTTCACAATGTTTGCTCTCTATTTTTCCAATTCTATTGTTATTTTAAAGAAGCCGCATAACTGACAATGGAGTATCATGGGGGACCACAAGCAAAATGTCTTATCTGTTAAATTAGCTGCAAGCACGCTTGCGCGCGCGAGAAAATTCGGATACAGTGAATACATTTTAAGATATTTCTACAGTGCTAGAAGCGCCGCGCGTTCCGTACCCCGATTTGAGTAGACCGTTCTGCTGATTTTTTCATTACTAATCTAAGTAAACTATAGGTAAAAATATAATATTAATCATAAGCTAAAATGTACTAATCTTTGTATTCTAAATGGGGAAAAAGAAGAAACATTGTCAGTCAGTCGAGAAAATTGTCAGTCAGGCTATATGGCAGCTTTGTAGATGTTGTGACTATGCTAGTAGTGGTCCCAGGCTTGCGACTGGAATTGCAGAATTGCAGAAAAGCAGAACGGGTAATTCATTAATAGCTAAATAGCTAAATAGTAAATAGTCTGTGGACGTTTTGAAACAGTGTCATTGACACCATTCAATGATACAGCCAATAACCTCGGCTTTATCACCTCTTATTTATGTGTTTAACTTTATCCCCGTGAGAAGAGTGGTCACTGGTCATAGTCATTACGAATAACATTTTACCTCCGATAAATACGGTTCTGAAAAATCCTTTTTCCCTTTACCCTTTTGTTTTCAGATATTAAGCCGAGTATCATAACCACAGGATGAGTTAGAAGTAATCATGTTACAAATATATCCCTCGTGCATTCCTTCGTGTTCACACAATTTGCCCCACTTTTGTTTTTTTGCAACTGGTATAGCTACTCATTCACAGATCGAAGTGATTTTTTACTTAATCACAGTATTAGAATTCCATTTCAGAGCCAATAATATTGTATCAACAACCTGATGATTCTTAATTTGCATCAACTTGCGTCAAGTTCAGTAAGTCAAAATCAGTATGCCAACATTAAAATATTGTATTCTCACCTCTCTCTCAAATAGCCTCCCTCCTGATAGCCTCCACCTGGTTCCCTGATCTGAACAGCTCCTCATCCCTTATTTTATGAAACCTCCAACATATGGCTGGTCAGATAGGGTCATAGACATAATATGACGGATAAATGGGATATTCAGAACTGAAACTTGTCTGATATGCAGCTAATAGATGCCAAGGAGCGGGCGGTTTACAAATATCACATGTCATTATCCTTGTGAAGGAGCTCTACAATCTAGTCTTGTTTTACCTGGTTACGAAGTTTGTGGAGTTTGTTTGAATATTCCGGTTATCGAGCTGATAGCTGATATACGGAGTTTAAAATATTTGGGTCTTCTCAATCAAGTGTCACTTCTACGGTAATACGACATCTGTCCGACAGTGACATCTGTCCGACAGCACTATTTTCTTGTGTTTGAAGTGATATCTCACATTTGGTACATAGAAATTTACCCAAACTTGCACAAATTATTTGTCTTAAAGCTATCTTACTGTCTAGAAAGTTTCAAGAAAATCGTTTTGTTGGATCTCCAGATATATGCCTTGGAACCACTGCAAACCACCGAATTGGAGATATTTTTTGTGTTTAAGGTTATATCTTAAATTTGGCACATAGAAACTCGCTCAAACTTACACAGATTATTCGTCCTATAACCACCATACTTTATGGAAAGTTTCAAGAAAATTGTACGGTAGGATCCGACATAAACTATTATCCGGATAACCTATTTTCTGAGTCGGACAGATGTCGCTGTCGGACAGATGTCGTAAAGTAAATATTGTATACAAAGTACAACAATAACGTGACACGCGTAGTTCCAATGTAAGGTTTGACTATCGCAAAAGAACCCAATGTAAAACTAAAGAATACTGTAATTGATAAACTTACTTAACGTGATAGGGCCCTCTAAAAGTTTGTTTCTTCTTCAGATTCCTGCTGTGTACAATGTTTCTGTGCTGTATCTGGTGTCCCGTCATGTTCAACAACTTAGCAGTTTAGCTCCTAAATCACATAGCACGTCAACTACTTACTGAGTGATTAAGTGATTACATCGTTACCAGCCTCGCACGGGCACATTATGGAGCTTAAGCCGCACGTGCAAGTCTGTACACACCATGAAACAGCGACTACTCCAACAGAATGGTCATAACGTCATCTTCCTCATCTGTTCACTGGGAAACGTTTTGTTTTCATATCGATTTGATGTTTTGTTTGTACAATCTTCTGTACAGATTTTGGTTTTGGTCTTGGTATCACACCCCTGATACTCTAGATACTCTAGTTAGACTCTTGTTTTACTTCTTAACCACATGGTACGATTACCCGAGTAGTAACATTATAATCACACGTGGTGATAAAACAACACGGGCTACAGCCCACTAGTTCCCTGTACATTACCGATGGTAATTAACCATGACTACTCCATATAAAACTGTTACCTTAGTTCCCTATTGTCTAAAAGCAGAGCCCAGCTCCAGATAGTGGCCCCCTATTAGAGTAGACAATAAGGAGGCATTATCTAGCTATCTAGCTATCTGTGTTTGTCACTTCTACATCGTATATGTTATATAAGTATAATTATAGTATATACAGTGATCTGCTCTTGACCTTCTCCCACTTGTTGTGTTAACAAACTGCATGTTTGTTGATTTAATCATGAAGTTGAGTAGTGTTCGATAATCCTTGTCGCATCATGTGTTGTATTTAATCGTTTTAACATCGTTTATTGTTAGGATCAAGGCTGTTTCCAAATAGCCTTCAACCAAAGTAAAGGTACGACATTGGTATCTAATTGTAGGGTTAAGATTCCGGAGGGAATTAATTAATAAAATGTATGGTTGATGAGCACGACGTATAAACCAAGCGTCTCTCCTCAACTCCTCAAGCGCTGCTGGAAGATATACAAATTGTAAAGATGTAAGAAGAAAGTGGTTGGTAAATGACTGTGAAGTGTGCACTGTTACCCCACTGTGAAGTGTGCACTGTTACCCCACTGTGAAGTGTGCACTGTTACCCCACTGTGAAGTGTGCACTGTCACCCCACTGTGAAGTGTGCACTGTCACCCCACTGTGAAGTGTGCACTGTTACCCCACTGTGAAGTGTGCACTGTTAACCCACTGTGAAGCGTGCACTGTTACCCCACTGTGAAGTGTGCACTGTTACCCCACTGTGAAGTGTGCACTGTTACCCCACTGTGAAGTGTGCACTGTTACCCCACTGTGAAGCGTGCACTGTTACCCCACTGTGAAGTGTGCACTGTTACCCCACTGTGAAGTGTGCACTGTAACCCCACTGTGAAGTGTGCACTGTTACCCCACTGTGAAGTGTGCACTGTTACCCCACTGTGAAGTGTGCACTGTTACCCCACTGTGAAGTGTGCACTGTCACCCCACTGTGAAGTGTGCACTGTTACCCCACTGTGAAGTGTGCACTGTTAACCCACTGTGAAGCGTGCACTGTTACCCCACTGTGAAGCGTGCACTGTTGCCCCACTGTGAAGTGTGCACTGTTACCCGACTGTGAAGTGTGCACTGTTACCTACTGTGAAGTGTGGACTGTTACCCCACTGTGAAGTGTGCACTGTTACCCCACTGTGAAGTGTGCACTGTTACCCGGCCCCACAGTGAAGTGTGCACTGTTCCCCACTGTGAAGTGTGGACTGTTACCCCACTGTGAAGTGTGCACTGTTACCCCACTGTGAAGTGTGCACTGTTACCCCACTGTGAAGTGTGCACTGTTACCCCACTGTGAAGTGTGCACTGTTACCCCACTGTGAAGTGTGCACTTGTACCCCACTGTGAAGTGTGCACTGTTACCCCACTGTGAAGTGTGCACTGTTACCCCACTGTGAAGTGTGCACTGTTACCCCACTGTGAAGTGTGCACTGTTACCCCACTGTGAAGTGTGCACTGTTACCCCACTGTGAAGTGTGCACTGTTACCCCACTGTGAAGTGTGCACTGTTACCCCACTGTGAAGTGTGCACTGTTACCCCATCACAATACAACAGTTACACTAGTACGCAGTACTATTTTCATTATAGTTAGAAACGTCACACAAGAAGAACGTTCTGGAAGACCCCTTATTATTGATGCCATTTGCTCAATACAATAGCGTGAAACTCTCTATTCCAATTATAGACAGAGGAAAGTTTTCACATAATACCTCACGAGTTTGGAAGTATTATGTTCAGGTCACATCTTTATAAGCAGCTGCTTAAGTTTTTATTCATTCTTTTATCGATATATTATCGTCTTGTTGATTAACAGTGTGGATGTATTACATGATGTAGCCTGTAGTATTGCAAACGTATGTGCTAAAACCCAACGACTGGGTGCAAATGTACGCTAAAAAGTAAGGTGCTATTTCTCGCATACCACACGACTTTTGATACTATTTGTTTATAAGTTTGTACCTCGTGTAAGGGCGTTGGTTGATATAAGTACTCAAACATACGTATTTTAACTACAATGACAATGGTGACTTTAAGTAAGAGTTGATGCGAAACTCGTGGTTTGTTAACAGTATTTTCTCTCAACCAACAGAGTCATAGTCACATGATCAATTAAATGTCGGTAAAATAGATTTAATTTATTTTCATTTCTAAAGCAACATCTGTATCCTTACAATAAGTGTTACCAACCTATTTTCTAATACACAAGATAAATTAAAAAGCAGTTTATAATGAGAACAGAGCCACTCAGTTGTATAGCAGGTAGAGACTCTATAGAGCGGATGAAGAGGTGAACCAGAATTCCTTTAACACATTGTGCTACAAGGTCAATTATGGAAAGTTCTGGTTCACTTCTCCTTCACCAGCATCAAAATATTTCTTCTTTAAAATGTCATTCTCGAGATGAAGGGGACCCACGTAAGAACTTATTGTTAAAATGATTTCAGACGACCCCAAACCTCCACCTGTCAGTTTGACATACTGAATATTGAGATGAGCAAGAGTTCAGACTATTGAAATGAGTTGAGCATGAGTCATCACGTCCAGACTGATTAGGAAAATGTGATCTCATACTAACAATCTGCCTCTCCCTGGATCACCTCGTCACGTGGAAAGAGGAGCAGTGGTTCAAACCAGCTCAAAGGTGGCCGGCTGGGACGGTATTGAGAGTTAGGTACTAACAGGAGACTATGTCTTTAGTGGGTTGTAGCTCGTTTATAAAAGGTGTCTTCTCTCCCCCGGGTTAGTTAGCTCAATGGAAAGCAGGCCTTGCTAAGTTTTAACACTTCGTTGGCAGCGGCTCCACAGAAGACAAATATCCTTACCAGAAGATAATGCGACGAATTTCTAGTGATAGTTTTCAATGCACCAATCAATGCTTAATTCATTCACCATCTTGACCACGCAGTCAAGTTAGCGGGTTAGAAAGCACTAACTGCCAATCAACCAGCCGTTCTGCACCATCCTCTCTTATTTCTGCCTAAGTTTGCTGCCTCAGTTTGAAGTTTTCAAGTGGGTAGCTGGACGGAACTAAGCTGTGATGATCAAGTTTCAAGTTTTACAGTACGTGATGTGGTACGTCAAACAGAGCGTTAGTGCTTGATACAAGTGATGTCAGCTGAAGGTTTTAGTTTTTAGTATTAGTTTTGCGATAGTTAACGTTTGTAAAAGATTGAAGCGTTGAAGAAATTTTCCCAAGAATAGGGCAATATAAGGAACTGTTTCTGGCGTCATGTGAGATTGAAAATGTAAGCATTATAACAAGACGTAACATTATTTGCGCCTACATCTCGCGTTGTGACGAAATTCGCTATTCTTGCTCACAATTCCCTGTAACATCAGCTTTCAAAGTGTATCGTGAGTATGGGTACGTCTGATGGCTACGAGGTCCACACAAATTCCAGCATATGACGCTGAATATTTTGCTGCATATACCTTCAACATTTACGATCTGATCATTTTCTTAAGTTGCTTCCTTTTTTACTCTTGAACCAAGTATCAACTAAGTATCAACTAAGGCCTCATAAGTATTCAGTATTCAACAGCACTGTAGAATTAAGATTAGTTTAAGGTTTAGTAACAGTCTTACGATGATAAGTTTCATAACTACCCCTGGCCAAAATCCAAGTTCACCGGTAAGATAACGGGAAGCATACGTCATGTTATTGTTCTAGAAGGAATCATAAGCGATACCATGTTCCAGAGCCGCACGTAAAGACTTCCTGCTCCTCCCATTAATCACATAATGGTATATAAAACAAAGCCCAAAACGCTATCTCATGAGCACTGAGCTAGCTCTCTCTCTCCATCGTGTCCTCACACTCCTTGAAACCGGAACAACATCGTTATTAAGTTAATTTCTATAACAGTTTAGTTGTTATAATGGTAGCTCTTACCGGACCAGCTTCTCTCTTCGCTGAGTCTCCGGTTGTGCAACAGTTAGGTACTAAGGTAGGTACTGAAGTTATAAGGTACTGAGGTCCTTAGCGGTATGATAATAATTCTGTCCGTAATATTATATTGTTTAATCCTTGATAATGGCCTGCTTCGGTTTATAAATAGTATAATGCTATCATTTCTTTTCGTTTCACCAGATCTGTTTATATTTCAGATATATTATATATAATAATATTTTGGTAGACCAATCACAAAAATGTATCAAATAATTCGTAATTTCCTGGAAAATTACCAGCAGGTGCTTTGTCAGTTGTCACAAGAGCAGTTGCGAACTTTTCAGTTGCATTGTTGTCAGCCTCTTTGCTCTTTTACAAGTTTTCAACAAGAATTTAGCATTCGTTTTTCTACAGTTCTCTCCTGAAAAGGATAGTTTTCAACAGTAGTATAATATAAAAGTTCCACGTCACTAGGAGACTAGGAGACAGATGTCACGATTTTTGCAGTTCGGTAAAGTAAAAATGACCGTGTGTCTAATTCATAACGTTGAGATGTGTGCGAGACTTGAGAACACCTGAGAAACTTTACTGATTATCAAATCGTAGTCACGTGGGGTGATTCAGATAATCTGATATCAATTTCAGATTCCAGCTTAAACACCTGGCAGCAAGTGCTATCATATCACTACCACTCCTTGAATATTCAGCGTCTTTACCTCATCTTTAAAACTTAAACAGTCTTTTAAAGTTTAATTATTACTAAGTAGTAAGTATAATTATATATAATCTGACAAAACACACACCTGTCTTGAGCTATAATTATTAAGAGGTGTTTGAGAAGACTGTCCCAAATTCTATGAGGATGAGAAGAACAAACAGCGAGCTGTAACCAAGTTTTTCTAGTTTCTACAGAGCCACGAACTCTTATTATATATCAGATATATTTCTGTTTTCTTTGTCAGTTTCTCCTACTGTTCCCCATCATGAGGCGGATAAGTTGTCACTTTGTAGTTTCAGTAGATGCTGTTTTGTTACATAATATTCTCCTGTGACCAGTACTGTCTCATTATGAGATGGTAAAAGCTGAATTCTCAGAATTTTTTGTTTTTGTATACTTTGGGATCTCTATTCACTTTGATCCTATATTATCTTATCAATTTGTAATGTTAGCTATAAAGAACCTGATTATTATACCCCTCATTGTAGTATGACGATAGTGCAGATAATCACCGTACTGACCACCATCCTGACAATATCAGCAGCCTCAAAACCAGGTTATTACAATCCTCAATATTATTTACTGTCTTCTCACTTGATAATATTTATTGATATTACAAAGCTTCTTTTAAACTTAAAGCAAACATGTTTTAAACTAATTACAACACTACAAATTTGTTAAATTTATTGAGGTAACGATGTAACAGAGTCAATGGATTTTAACGTTTCGATGTGGTGGCAAGTCCCCATTCATCGTATTTCAATAGTTTTACCTAATATTTAACAATTATTGTGGGGTAATTCAATTTCATATCTTTCAGTTGGTACGCTCACTAGATATAGAAAAGGGGATAGAAAATCTTGCACGAGGGATGACCCATGTCTGAGTGAATGCTTTGACATCTTCACCATCACATTTGATAAGCCTGCATTTATAACAGCGTTGGGCATAACGCCTGGGCTAGTGGAGACAACAGGCAAGGCGGGGAATCTCTGCTACTTCAATCCAACTGTAACATACAAAGAAATGAAGCAGGATCTAGTATCAAGAATTAGGATAAAACGAGATGGTGTTGAATCGATTGACAAACCTGCTGACAAAATTGAGCTAGAATCGAAATGTGAGAATAGTGTTAAATGTGTCTTCACAGTGGAGATGTATGATGTTGCACAATGGTCACAATTAGTGCAACAAGGTACGAGTCAGATTTTGTTGATTTTTAATAGCAGTTCTTGGGTTTAAAAGTTTAAATTGTAATCTCAACCGGAGAAGTTTTAAAGTCGATATTATTTATTCCACCAGACAAACCATAATTTAGTATGTTGCTTCAATCTTTTATAATTTCAGAACTGTGTGAGCCAGGAAAGCGGGTACATGATCTCAGCTGTGTATTATGTCCCTCCGGTACCTTCTCTAACCAGTACCAGGCAGCAGAGTGTACTGAATGTCCAGGTGGCAGCAATTCTCTGGAGGGAGCCACTGAATGCACCAACGCAAGTTAGTACCTACTGATACTTTGTACCGGTGAAACTATTAATTTTTAATATTGTTTTAAAATACGCTCTGTAGGAATATCGATAATTACAATTTTTTCCTTTTCACCCTTTTGAAAAAAGGCAATAGTGAAAGGTTACGAATGGACGATTTTGCAGAAAAACGTGGATTTTGGAGATTGCAGTAGGTGGGTCTGAATATGTCGTCAGTCCTTCCTTACGTCCGTTACCATGCAACAAAAAAGTTGCGCGCGCGAGGATTGCTTGCGGAGATGTGATGTATAGATAGCCTGTGATCTATGAATGTGCGGCGCGACTGTGTTTTAATGTATACGATGTAATGTATAATATTAGGTTATAAGCCCAATTTGTACGTGGCACGTGTAGTGTATTGATGTGTACACGAGTATAGTTACCTTTGCTTACAATTTAAGTTCTTTGCTTTACAATTTAAGTTCTTTGGCAATTGAACTGCATTTAAAGTGTTTCATGTACTTAATGCATAATTTATCAATATTATTATCATGAAGACTGAAGTGAGCTGATTGGAGCTTATACTTAACTTAAATTTATAGTAAATGTGAAATGGAAATCTAGCGTCCGCCAAAACGAAACAACGGGCGCAATTCTTGTTAATATCGTTAAATCTGAAAAAAAGTCATGGAGCTATTAATTTGGAGTATTGTTTTTACGTTATGCTCTAAAATATGCTAAAATAATCTCTTTATGTAAAAATATCGGTTATTACAATCTTCAATATCGTTAGATCTGACAAAAGTTAGGGACCTTTTGCTTAGATTTAGCGATTTACATATGAAGCAATTGTATAGTTGTATGTAAATTGTACATAGAACATTTTGATAAATCACATATATCATGACGGCCAACAATCCACATGTGTGATATGAAATAGCATTTAAATGATTTGCAAGGTTAAAAGTATAGTTTATGTAAATGCGTACTGAGGAAATCAGTTGTGAGGTTACTGAACGGTGACCAGCGGAGTCAGGAACTGAAACTATGAGGTATGAGCCCATCGGGTCAGCTTTGATAGGTTACACTAACTTAAAAACTTTAGATTTTTATTTGTTTACTTAATACTGCACTGCTTTTTAATCGATCAATCTAGAATTAATTAGAATCCTATCAAAATGTCTCTAAATGAAAGTTATTAGCTCTAAGAGCATTGATGGATTCTTAACTTCTTTATTATTGAGCTGTTTTATTTCAGTTGTGTAAAAAAGAAGAGTGATTTGTACGGGGAAGCTGTAATGAAGTATCCTACCAGATAACTGCAACTATCCTATTAACCTGGTTTGTTTTGCAGTTAGAAGAGGCATTTTCAAAAGTTGTTACCCTCACAGAGATATTATATTCATTATAATCATTCACACTATTTATCGTTAAAACTATTTACAGTCACGTACTTGTAAGTAATCGGGTAAAAAACAGTTCAAATATAAGAATATAAACTTGATGATTCTTACGAAAGTTTACTCATGGAACACTAAAAACAGATCAAAGTTCACTAATCACACGTTTTAATAGATTTGTTGTTATTTTCTATGGTAAAAAGTCTCTGTAATCCACGGTCGTATGAAGCGTTACACTCAATGTAATAAAACACTCTTTATTTCAGCAAACAAATGTGCCAACAACAAAGAACAGCGACAAACCACAGGGAACTCAGAAAATACTCGTCTACTTGAGAGAAGAGACCCTTATAGAGACCCTTATAGAGACCTTAATAGAGTCCTTATAAAGAACATTGATTTTGAACATAAAACATTTTAACTTAAATCTATTTTTAGGACATGAAGACTCTTTTAGGGAACATTTTTTAATCACTCTTTGAGGAAACTTTTGAGCAGTTCCTTTGAACTGCTTTTCAGATGTTTACATCTTCTCATTTGGAAGTAAAGAACAAATATCTGAAATTAAAGTTTTGATAATTTTGCATTTTAGGTACTTTAGAGAGACTACATTTTGTTTTGTGTTGACTGATCTTCAAAACTTTTTAACGCACTTATTTTCGAGTTTCCTTTTTACTGCTCTCCAGCATTTATACAACAAGTAATTAATGAGAAAGTATCTCACTCATTAAAGTTTCTAATTTAACCCAAAAATCACGCTAATACAAACGTTTTTAATACCCACTGTCAGCAAAGTATAGTGATTATGTCCTGATGCTGTCTTAGCTGTTCGTGTAACCACTTTAACTTACAATTTCAGTTACACTATATAATATTATATAATATAAGTGGATGGGAGGGTGATTGACCAATCAGCTTGCAGTAACTACAAACTAAATCACGTGTTAAAAGTATGCTCCTTCACCCTCCCAACCCCATTGTGCGCGTTTCTATAGAACAGAGCTAGTTTATCACCCTCAAATCTCAATACCCAAACCGAGTCTTTGTGTATCCAGGGTCATGATCCCGGCTAAGCTGCCTGAGGTTTTCCTAACAGACAGTTACTAGGTCACCCTCCTCAGCTAACATTTTCCTCCCTGGAGAATTTAAGTATTGTTATTCTAAACAGTCTGGTTGTGAGCTCCAGTGAACCATAGTTCTGGACCCTTATACTCACACGTGCAGGTCATTTTACTGTTAAGTAAGTTGTCCGGGTTATTTTGTGTGACATCTCGCCTGAGTCGCCTTTGCTGCCTCTTTTGAACAATGGCATGCATTAGCTTAGCATTCATTTAGTCTAGGGTAAGGGGCCATTAGAATTATAGAATACTGAGTACTGACGCTTTGCAACGGCCATGGGGGGAATGAAGGCGCGCCATGCTATAAACGGGGCTTTACCAGGCTCCTAGAACAGTGATCAGGCAAGTGGTGTGCTTACTCTAGCTGGAATAAAGTTGGAATTTGATCGATAAGAAAAACATCATCCCTACATTCTGCTACTTTCCCTGATCTTTATTCAGTCACAAACCTAAACATTATTAAAGGTTTGTAATGTTGCAGGAACATTTCTACAGCCGTATGATTCATTAGCCGTATGAGCCATCGGCAGATCGCTTTTAACAAAGAAAGAGCTCGAAATAATGAGTTAGTAGCTACGTAATCACTACTCTACGTAATCACTACTCTACATCACATTTCAGGCAAATGAACTGAACTTTTACAAAGACTGCAAATACCAAAGAAAAAACACCCCACCCACACACGAAGCTTTGATCTGATATCAATTTCAGATTCCAGCTTAAACACCTGGCAGCAAGTGCTATCATATCACTACCACTCCTTGAATATCCAGCGTCTTTCCATCATCTTTAAACAGTCTTTTAAAGTTTAATTATTTCTAATTACAACAACAAGATACAAGGGCAGGTCTCTCCCAAACGTTGGGATGGCCTGAGGTCCTTATCTCCTTTTCAGTAACTCTAAACCACTCTGTGCCGAGGCACTAAACTAGCTGTAGGGGGGGGGGGGGGGGGCTAGTCCTACGAGCCAGAGGGTGCGTATCACCAGCCGAAACTGTACCAAATCACAGCTTGGTAACTGGCCGACTTGCATCCGACCGGATTTGAACCCGGGCCTTCTACTTGTAGTTACCACTACACCACCCAGCATTACTAAGTAGTAAGTATAATTATATATAATCTGACAAAACACACACCTGTCTTGAGCTATAATTATTAAGAGGTGTTTGAGAAGACTGTCCCAAATCCAATGAGGATGAGAAGAACAAACAGCGAGCTGTAACCAAGTCTTTCTAGTTTCTACAGAGCCACGAACTCTTATTATATATCAGATATATTTCTGTTTTCTTTGTCTGTTTCTCCTACTGTCACTCGTCATGAGGCGGATTAGTTGTCACTTTGTAGTTTCAGTAGATGCTGTTTTGTTACATTATGTTCTCCTGTACTGTATTTATTCTCCTGTATTGTCTCGTTAAAAGATGGTAGAAGGTGCATTCTCAGATTTTGATGTTTTTGTAAGGTTAGGAATCTCTTTAATCCTATAATTATCTTATCAATTTATAATGTAAGCTATAAAGAACCTGATTACCCCTCATTGTAGTATGACGATAGTGCAGATAATCACCGTACTGACCACCATCCTGACAATATCAGCAGCCTCAAAACCAGGTTATTACAATCCTCAATATTATTTACTGTCTTCTTGCTTGATAATATTTATTGATATTACAAAGCTTCTTTTAAAGTAAACCTGTTTTAAACTAATTACAACACTACAAATCTATTACATTTATTGAGGAAACGATGTAACAGAGTCGATACATTTTAACGTTTCCATGGAATGGCAAGTCCCCATTCAAATCCGATAGTTTCACTGCATCCTAATATTTAACAATAATTGTATTGTGGGATAACTCAATTTCATATCTTTCAGTTGGTACGCTCACTCTAAATGGAAAAGCTTGCACTGAGGCTGACCCATGCCTGACTGAATGCTTTGAAACCTTCACCATCACATTTGATAAACCTGCATTTATAACAGCGTTGGGTATAACTCCTGGGCTAAAGGAGACAACAGGCAAGGCGGGGCATCTCTGCTACTTCGATCCAACTGTAACATACAAAGAAACAGAGCAGGATCTAGATACAGGAATTAAGATACAACGAGAAAGGGCTGTTATAAGTAAACCTGCTGACAAAATCGAGCTAGAATCGAAATGTGAGAATAGTGTTAAATGTGTCTTTACAGTGGAGATGTATGATGTTGCTCAATGGTCACAATTAGTGCAACAAGGTACGAGTCAGATTTTGTTTGATTTTTAATAGCAGTTCTTGGGTTTAAAAGTTTAAATTGTAATCTCAACCGGAGAAGTTTTAAAGTCGTTATTATTTATTCCACCAGACAAACCATAAGTTAGTATGTTGCTTTAATCTTTTCTAATTTCAGAGCTGTGTGACCCAGGAAAGCGGGTACATGATCTCAGCTGCGTATTGTGTCCCTCCGGTACCTTCTCTAACCAGTACCAGGATCCAGAGAACCAGTACCAGGCAGCAGAGTGTACTGAATGTCCAGGTGGCAGCAATTCTCTGGAGGGAGCCACTGAATGCACCAACGCAAGTTAGTACTTATACTGATACTTTGTACCGGTGAAACTATTAATTTGTAATATTGTTTTAAAATACGCTCTGTAGGAATATCGATAATTACAATTTTCAATATCATTAAATCTGACAAAAGTTAGGGACCTTTTGCTTAGATTTAGCGATATACATATGAAGCATTTGTATACTTGTATGTACACTGTACATAGAACATTTTGATACATCACATATCATGACGGCCAATAACCCACTTGTGTGATATGAAATAGCATTTAAATCATTTGCAAAGTTAAAAGTATAGTTTATGTAAATGTGTACTGAGGAAATCAGTTGTGAGGTTACTGAACGGTGAACAGCGGAGTCAGGAACTGAACCTATGAGGTATGAGCCCATCGGGTGAGCTTTGATAGGTTACACTAACTTAGAAACTTTAGACTTTTGGTTGTTTACTTAATACTGAACTTCTTTTCAATCGATTAATCCTGAATTAATTAGATTCAGCTTATTTGGTTCACAGGTTTTTCCTAGACTTTTTGTTCGAACTTTAGCTTTCTGTACAAGATTTTTTGTTATCTTAGAATTTATTCCGCATTTATATTATTCCCACTCTCGACTCCTCGCTAGCAGTCCGGTTAATTTAGTACCTCTAGGTAACTTCTCATTTAATCATGAGGACTTTTTAAAGAACATCTCACCCTCTCAGAAAACTCCGTCAGAAGATATTTACTATTATTATCTATGTCATAAATTTTCCTTGTGTTTGAATTCTGTCACTTTTTTACTGTTTCTAGTATTTGTTATTTTCGGCCGATTTCTGCACTTTTTCACTGGGTCATCTTCATATTTTCTGGGATGGAGACGACGCATATCAGCATTTAAGGAAGAGTTTGCTTGACTGACTTACTTCATTAGACACTTCTGGTCAAGGACAACATGACTTACTTACTTATGTTACTTATGTGATGCTTTAGCTGCGCTGCAGCAGGGCCATCAACTGAAATGACCACCCTTATGCTTTACTTCGGACAACCATGGCTTTATAGTCACGGCATGTAACCGGCACTTACAGGAAACCGAAGGATCAAGTCTAACGCCAGCGACGGTTAAGGTATTATACCACACTTTCTTCGCCCGAAGCTTCGCTGTATTGATCATGTACAGCTCCTCATTTAACCCTCACACACGATTTCTCGAGCATTCGGCTGAGTAGACCGGGGGGCTGCATAGGTCCAACGGAACCCTTAGCAGAGCGTCAACGACACTCACCCCATGACACCTAAAACTTTGAACATAACACGAGGAAACATGGACAAAACTGAACAAGAACCACATTCGAAGACTGAAACATCTGAATGACTCTGCAACCCAGGAATCCACTACTCAGTTATCATCGCTAAATGATCGGTTTGGTATCGACGTTACATACTTTATTATTTTTTTAAAATAGAAAAAGAAGCTGATTTTAGTTTTTTTTTTTTTTTTTTTTTCTTCCTTCAAAACATTCCAGTACATTGTGCAGAAAGTTGGAGATAAAGCCGTAGTACGTACATGCAGCATACTACTGGATCGAACTTGCAGAGTGTGGTTTCCTCCAATCTGGGCCGCGCGTTTATATAAACATACACGGCGCAGATCGACTGGAGGAGATTGCACTATGTAGGCTCCGGTGTAATGTGATATGTATGTACTACGGCTTTACAAATTTTGGAAGCATGTAGATTGTAGGGATATATATCTGATACCAATCGTATATACTAAAAATACTCTAGCACAATTGTAACTGCAGTTTCACAGAACTCTAAGTGCTTAATGAACACTCTTGCAGGTACCACCCGTATTCACACTCAGACCTGAGTTTAGTCATTTCCCGATACGAGATTGGGGACGGGTTCCATAAACAAACAAACAAACAACAATTAGATATCTACCAAAATGTCTCTAAATAAAAGTTCTTAGCTTCAAGAGAATTGAGGGATTGTTAACTTCTT